AGATGGCACTAGTTCATTTTTGGAAGTACTAGAGTCATTCGCATCTATGTTATTGCTATGTCATTTGACAGTTGACAGTTCTAGCTTCATTTTAAAAAAAATTGAGCGATTTGGTTGAGTTTTGGAGATTTTACAAGTCGAAGATGGAAGACCAAGCTGTGCACTTTTGCCATATTTTGCTGTTTTACTTCCATAAAGGGAAGAACGCGACTCAAGCTTATGAAAAGTTGCGTAAAGTTTACTTACAGTGACAATGCTCTACAAAAACGTCAGTGCCAATGATGCTTCACAAAATTCTGTGCTGGTGATTTTGATCTTAACGACACTCCTCGGTCAGGGAGGCCCACCGAGGTTGATGACGACAAAATAAAGGCATTGATCAAGTCAAATCCACATTACATGACACGGGAGATCGCAGGAACATTGAACATCCATCATTCAAGCGTTCACGACCCCCTGAAGAAGCTGGGATATGTAAGCAAGCTCGATATTTGGGTTCCGCATGAACTCAAAGAAGTTCATTTGATGGTGCGCATAAACATCTGCAATATGCTCATTAAATGTGAGGAAAACAATCCTTTTGTGAAGTGACTGATAACTGGTGATGAGAAGTGGATTGTTTACAACAATGTAGTGTGCAAACAGTCTTGGTCTCAACGTGATGATTTGCCTCAAACGACATCAAAAGCAGACATTCATCCGAGGAAGGTTATGCTCTTAGTGTGGTGGAATTTTAAAGGTGTCGTGGTTTTTGAGCTCCTACCAAGGAACCAAACAATCAATTCAAATGTGTACTGTCAGCAATTGGACAATGTGAATAAATCCATCATCCAGAAATATCCAGAGCTTGTTAATTGTAAAGGAGTTGTGTTCCATTGCGACAACGCGAGACCACACACAAGTTTGATCACCAGTCAAAAATGATTGGCGCTTGAATGGGATGTGTTTTCACACCCACCTTACTTGGCTGACCTTGTGCCGTCAGACTTCCACTTGTTTCGCTCTCTTCAAAACTCCTTGCATGGTATAATGTTCAATTCAGATGAGACTGTAAATCAGCACCTTGTTCAGTTTTTTGCAAATAAAGACAGATCCTTCTATGAATGAGGAATTATGAAGCTCATTGAAAGATGGCAAAAGGTTATCGAACAAAACAGGCATATATCATTGATTGATCTTTGTCCTTTATATAAATAAATGTCCTTTGAAATACATAGACAAAATGCATCATGGCTTTTCCAACAACCCAGTAGTTGAGGGTACTCCAGGTTGGTAGCAGCTCTCTTCCACATGGTGATTCAGGGACCCAAGGTTATTCCATCCTGTGACTCTTTCTTCCTCTAGGATCTTGTCATCAGGTCAAGGCTTGTTCACCATATCTAGGTTTCAGCCGGTGGAAAGAGGAACAGTGTGGAGGAGGCACACTTCTTTTAAGGCCTGCAGAGGCAGGCACATATCGCATCTACTCATACATCATTGATGACAATTTAGTCATATGGTTACATCAGTCTACATGGGAGACTGGGAAATGTAACCTAACTTTGTGTCCAGGAATAAGGGGTGGATGAGTATTGGTGGGCTGCTCATTGTCTCTTCTGCAACAGCCTGCAACTCCGGCTGCCCAGTTTCTGTGTGTATCCTTCTCACACTCATCCTTTCTCCAAGCAAGACGTGGAGCACACTCACCCATTTCCCTAGGGGAGACTACTCAAAGTTCTACCCTGTTGCTTATCTAGCTGAAATCCCACCATTCCTGGGTGATGTTCAGTTTTTTCACTCAGCGTCAAATGTGGCTCAGGTGGATCAGGGTGGATCAGATAACTAAAAACTCTTATTCAGAAAAGAGAAGAATGGGAAACAACAGTCACTGGTCCATAGCACTGATGGAACCAGGTGGGCAGGAATCTCAAAGACCTCAGATCTGGCAGTGGAGGAAGTTTCTCCGTTGGACCCTGTTTCTGCTCTCTGGTAGGGAATTCTTGTCTATTGCTCTCTGTGGCCCATGCTCTGCTCCATGAAAGAACATCCCTTGTCTATTATTCTTGGTCACATCTGAAATAGGTTTTAGAAATATGTTCCCTTTGGGAGCTGCATATATTTTGCAGCTGTTTGTAGGCTTATAGGTTGTTTTAAGGCTCAAAGAGTCACATGGCTCTTTGGTTGTTAGGTTCATAATTAAAAAAAATTTTTTTTAAAAATTTTATTGGGGGAATTGGGGGAGGGGAACAGTATTGGGGAATTGGGGAAGGGTAACAGACAAGTTGCTGTCCTTTTGTTCTTCAGTCTAGTTGTGGAGGACATTGCTTCACTGGCCCATGTTGGTATTATCATTGCGCTCCTCCTGGGTGAGGCAGTCGCTCGCTGGCCATTGGATGGCCATTCACTGCGGCTCATGGCTGCTTATGCTGGCTGCTGGCTGCTCACGCTGGCTGCTGGCCACTCACGGTAGCTTATGGGAGCCCACTGCAGCCTACGCTGTTGCTGGCGACTCACGGCAGCCCAACTCCAAGTAAAGCTGTTGTTCACCATCTTAGCTGTAGAGGGCACAGCATCACTGGCCCTCATGTGGGATCTGAACTGGAGCCCTGCTGCTCAGAGCTCGCGCTCCCAAGCCAACTCTTAACCAATGCACCACTCAGCCGGCCCTGATTTTTTTATCAACACTGTTTTCTTAATCTTAGTAAGCTCCTAATTTATTTACTTCTAGTGTATCAGTAAGCACAACCAAAATTTTTTCTGAATGTATTCAACATAGTATTTCAGTTTTTGCTTTCTTGTTCTTTTGCTGATGTATTCTTTCATTTTAATGGCAGTTATCTTGAGGCCATCTGAAAAATTCGGCTGGGCTAGGAAGGCAACAGTCTAAGCTTCTGCCATTTGGTATCATACAGAATCAGTCAGTTTTCCAGACCAGGAGGCCTTGATCTTAGGCTTTTTCACCTTCAAATCATTGTCACTTTGTCAGGAGTTCCCTGGTCACCCTATTTAAAGCTTCCACCCAGTCCCACCTTACCTTGCTGTTTAAAAAACAAAACAAAAAACACTTATCATTTTCATATATATGAAATGTGTATGTATGATATATATCTTATTTATCATACTTATTTTTTATTGTCTGTTTTCATCCTCTAGAATGTAAATTTCATGAGGTTTGGAAGTCATATTTTATTCTCTAATCTATCAGAGATGGAGTATAATGCCTGCCACATAGTAGTGGCTCAACAAATATTTGTTGGCTGTTTGCATCAATGATTTGAGAGTGTTCTGAATTTTCAGGATCTGTATATCATGCTGTTAGTGAGGTGTGCAAATAACTGTGAATTATAGTCATTTCTTCCCCTTCCGTGTGAACAGAATCCCCATTTTGTTCATTTGGTAGAGTAGGGCAGGGATGTATCTCTATTCTCTTGCTATAGGACTATGCCAGTTACGGAAATTCTATTCTCCTCTGTCTAGTCTAGTAATGGACAAATGATGCAGTCTTGGCCAGTGAGAGGTAAGTAAAGGTGTGGTAGAATGGAGAACCTACACGGAAAAAAATTGTTTTTCTGCTCACTCTTTTCCTTTCTGCTTTGACTGTTCTTTATTCTTGTGATGTTGAAGCATTAGCAGCCATCTTGTGACCATGAAGACAGACATCAGTAACATGCTGAGGCTGGAAGAGTGGAAAGGTCGAAAGAAGGTGGACGGACATGACATAATTGAATCACTATACCTACCTTGGAATCACTTCCTTTCTAAATGAGATAATAAATATCTGCTTCATTTAATCCATTTTTGGTCTACTTTTCTGTTACTTGCTGATTGCTGCTGAAAACATCCTGATAGAGTAGGCGTATCTTTAGTAGCTGTGGAAACTAATTAGTGACCATTCTACTACTCATTGAACCATTTGTCCACTCATTCATTTATTAAGTTTATTATATACCAGGCTATATGCAAAACTTAGAAGATTAATAAGATACAGTTCATGCATATCCTCAAGGAATTGATAATAGGGGTATAAATAAATAATCACAGCTATGTATCTAGCACACTGTTATCACAGAGCAAGTGTTTATTAGCAATCAAATTCAATGTAACTAGTAGAATTGGTTGGTCTTCTCGGCAGACCAAGATGGATAGAAGGAGCCTATCATACCATCTCTGCAAAGGCCCACATGGATTATATTCCCAGTTACCACTTGACGGGGGCGGGGAGGGGAGCTTTTCTCTTGCCACAGAAGGAGTGGCAGTAATGTAGGCAATTTTGGCCATATTATTTATTTCCCATCTGGTCAGACATGAACTCATTGGTGAAGAAGATTATAGGGTTCAGGAATCCGTGGGGTCATTTGCCCCTTTCTCTTCCACTTATAGATCCTTCTTACACACCTAGTAAGATGGAATTGACTGTGGTTAGAATGTGTTGATAAACTTGTGGTAGCTTAAGTATGCTGCTACAGGCTATTGGTAAAATTTGTATAGATGCCTAGAAAAAAAAATTAGAATTGTAGATTGTTAAGTATTTCAGCTTGATCATCTGGAAAACTATAGGTTTTTTTTGTCTTAAAAATACAAAAGCCAAAAAGCCCTGCAGTTTTATCATCCAAAACTAGCTATGTAGTCATTGGTATATTGAGGTGTTTTTTTTTGTTGTTGTTGTTTGTCCTTTTGTTCTTCAGTCTAGTTGTTGAGGATGCTGCTTCACTGGCCCATGTTGGTATTGTGATCACTGTGCTCTTCCTGGCTGAGGCTGATCAGTCGCCGGCCATTGGACGGTCGCTCTCGGCGACTCACAGCGGCTCACAGCAGCTGCCAGCCACTCAAGGTAGCTCACGGCAGCCCACTGCAGCCTATGCTGTCACCGGCCACTCATGGCAGCCCAGCTCCAGGTCAACCTATTGTTCACAATCTTAGCTGTAGAGGGCGCAGCTCACTGGCACATTTGGGAGTCGAACCGGCAGCCCTGTTGTTCAGAGCTCGTGCTCTTACCAACTGAACCACTTGGCCGGCCCCCTTTTTTTTTTTTCTTTTGCAAAGCCATTCAATATGTGCAAATGGTCATGGTAGCTGCCAAATGAGAGTGTGGGATTTATACCTAGAACTCAGGAAGGGAAGTTGACTGTATCCAGCTCTTTTTCACAATTAAACTTCACATGACTAGTGCATGTATGCTCAGGATAAGTCTTAATCTCTCTAAGGTACATCATAGAATATTAAGTTCACTGGCTTACTTTTAACATTAGGCTCATTAGAAGTTTATATAGGAAAAAAGTTTATATAGCAAACTCAAGATAGTGACTCAGGTTAGTACACTGATTTCTGACAGACCTAACAGGTAGATTAATTTATATGTCCATGAAAACTGTTCAGGAACTACTCTTAGTTTGCTTTATCTATTTAAAGTTCGTGTCAAGTGCCTTTAAGTCTAAGTAGTCTTAATGTTTTTCTCTCTGCTTTAGAATGATTTGGGGGTTTCCATTCTTTGTTCCTGTCTACTCTGTGGTCACCAGCTTCTCTAATGGTATTTGACTGTTCCCTTAGTTTTATTTTGGTTTGTGATAATTAATGCCCAGGTGCAGTTAACCAGAAGTAAAAGAGATTGCAATTTTCGTTTTTGTTACATGTGCACTTATTATTTTTAAAAAGAGGAAACATTTATGAATGTATCCATGAGGAATACCAAAATTAGATTATCAAAAACGTCAGAGGAGCTAAAGCTAGCAACTTTGTCTGTAACTAAAGCATATATCAATTTTTATGCCTTTCTTCTAAGGAGGTCAAAGTAATTCCTGTATTATTTTATGTTCTTGATATTCCTACTATTGTATAGGAGCAGATGCCCTCTCCATTTTATACTGTGGCATTGAAGAGTGACTTATCCATAGGACAGAGATGAGAATAATTCCGAGAGCAATCACAAAAGACACATTTATTCACTACCATTCCATGTATGGTATCTTGTATTGTGTACTCAGTTATTGCAATGCACAGTGTCTAAAATTTCTGACTCATAAGACTTCCATGGGGGCACACTTGTCATCAGATTCAATTAGAGGAAGATAGGGCAGGAAATGCAGCTAGCTAGAAGGGCAGCATTGGGCATCCCTCTTCAGTAGACTTCTTGCATCAGTCCTCACACCAATCAAGGGACTAATATCTGGTTTCCAAGGTGACAGTTCAGGTGCAAGGAGATGAGACTCATGCATGTAGTGAGTTCATCTTGGCTTGAAAGCCCCGTGTCTCCAATAGGAACCAATATCTCTACATAACGTTTGAGGCAGAAATTCCAATCCCTGGGAGGGGCCTGCCACCTTGTGAGAGTCATCACACTCAGGGAGCCCAAAGTTGTCATTTCCCACAGGTATTTATCATTCATATACAGTTTCTCTCCTGCCAGATGCAATTTGTCATTTTTTATCGTAAGAAATATTACCTAGTAGCACCACTTCCATTCTGCCTTTTTCTGGTTTCCAGGGAAACACTGCTATAAAATCTGTTCATAAAGGACAAAAGGTTTTGTTAATGCCTTACCCACAGTTACGCAGCCCCTTTTGTCCTATTAAGGCTAGGTCGGAGGCTTTGCTGTAGATATCACTCATCAAGTGATTCACTTTCTCTGGCCCTTGAGAAGATGGAGTGGGCTAAGTTTAGTTTTATAGCTAACAAAAATATTTTCCAACCTCTTTATTTTATAAATAAAGTTCTGTCATGCTATAGTTTGTCTTTATAACTATAGGAAGAGATAGAATTACTCTTGGCTCTTACCCAACGGTACAGATCACACATAGTGGAGAACACAGCCCCACTGTTGGGAATTCCCACTGAGCTAAATGTTGTAATCCAGAGTGAAACAGCCTGCAGCACATAATCTGACTCTCTATTTACATCTGAAAGGGCACAGAGGAGCACAGATCTTTCCAGGCATGCAGGAAATACAGGCACACCCCAACAGAATTTCTTCTACTTTCACATTTTTCCAGGAGCATGCCTATGACTTTAAATACCCAAATGTCATAAAGTGTACATTTAGGACAAGCTTATACTTAAACATGTCTAAGATGCAATATGATGTATATTTTTTGAGGTATAATTTACATGTGGTGACATGTACACATTTTAGGTGTAGACGTCAATGACCAAGTAATACACCCATTGTAATCCACACCATTGTCAAGATACAATTGCACCCCTTCATGATCAATCTCCTTTTCTTTCCTTCCACCCCAAGGCAACTGTTCCCCATGTCTATCAATATCAATTGGTTTTACCTGTCTTGAACTCTGTATCAATGAAATCATAAACTATGTGCTCTTTTGTGTGTGACTTCTTTTGCTTATCATGTTTTTGTGATTCCTCTATGCTACTGTATCCAGCAGTAGTTCATTTACCATTGTAGGGAATATACTACAATTTGTTTATCTACTACCTGTTGTTGGACGATTGTGTGGTTTTCCGTTTTAAGCTATTAGGAATATGGCTGCCATAAGCATTTTTGTAGAAGCTTTTGGTGGACATGTTTTCACTTCTCTTGAGTAAATACCTACAGTAGAATTGCTGGGTCATCGAGTAGGTGCACGTTCAATATCTTAAGAACCTACCAAGCAGTTTTCCAAAATGCTTGTACCATCTTGCACTCTCAGCAGCAACTTGTGAGAGAGATGGTTGCCCCACATCCTTGCTTGCATTAGGTCTTGTCAACCTTTATTTTTAGCCATTCTGGTGTATGTAAAGCTCCTGGAAAAAAGAAACACTGGAATATCCTTGCTCAGTAGGTAAAATTTTCTTAAACAGGATAAAGCAATCACTCATGATAAAAGAAACAACTGAATAATTGGATTCATCAAAATTAAAAGCTACTGTGCTTTGAAAGACACTGTTAAAAAAATGAAAAGCAAAGCAAACTACACACTGGGGGAAATTATTCACAATGCACATATTTGACAAAGGATTTGTACCCAGAAAATACGTATAAGCAGCTCTTACATCTCAGTAATAAAAATACACACAATTGAATAAAAGAAATAGCTGAAATACTTGAACAGGCATGTAACAAAGGAAGGTATACAAATACCCAATAAGTACACAAGAAAGTACGCAACACCATTAGTTATTAGTGAAATGAAAAATCAGCAAAATATGTTCAATAAAATAATTTATGGGAGAGTTTTTGAGTTATTTCAGCCACAACATCAGAGTCACATGTTGATATTTTGAAAAGCTCTTGAGTCTTCAGAGAGGAGATGTTTCATATATTGCAGTATAAACAACTGATTATTAGCTATATTAATTTTTCGGTTATTGGGAAGTAATGTTTTAAGTATTTTACATTCTAACATGATAGTTTGTTGTTTATGTAGAGGTGTTTTCCTGAGCTTTAGGAAATTGTTGTTTTGTTGTTGACATAACTACATTATAATTTTTCCCATTTAAACTCTTATAAGTGGGTTCCCAGTTAGTGTTTTTGTACAGAACTATGCAAGAACTGATAACTGAAATTAAGGGAGATGGCTGTATTAATGTATTGATTAAATGAATTCTACATTTAAAGGAGGAAAGTAAAGTAAAGAGTGTCTGGACTTTTATTTTTATTTGAAGTTAAAATATTTCTTAAAACAAGGACCATTTTAAAGTGTGAGGTTTACATTTTTCAAAGCTAATATTACTCAATGTCCTAGTGGTTTGTTTCCCTGTATTACAGAAATGATACTATTGAGCTTCTCTCTCTT